CATTTCAAGTCAAAATGCCCACTGCTTTTCCATTTTTTTCTTAATCCCGAGCTAAACAATTAGCAGCTTTCTCCCAACCCCTCCATTATTTATTGCCAGCCAAAACACAGCAAATTTCCATTAATTTTTTTTTTTTTTATGGAGAAAACAATTCTGTGTGGATAACTAAGCACAAGTCAAATCCCAATTTCCGTTTAGACCAAGAAAATTTGCCACATAGATTTTCTCTCTTAACACACTTTATATTTATTTATTGTTAGTGTATAAATTTTATTCACTGTTAATTAATCAAATAATAATATTTTATTAATAAATAAATATAAAAAAATTTAATTTTAAAAAAATTTTACTAATTAATAAAGTGTGACAGTATAAAATATATATACCGTTAATAAATTAAATATAAATCTATAAATTATTATTTATAAGATTAAAAAAAAAAAAACTCCAAAGTCAAAACCAACTTTCTCCAATTTGATACCTACCATCTTACCTTCCATAATATATTTACGTAATAATATTAAGTATTATAATTGATTTTAAATAGGCAAAATGACCATAAATTACTCCATTGATTAATATAATCTAGCCATGTTTTTGTTCAAGAAAACTTGATAGAGGTTAATAATATTTGCTTGAGAAAAAAAATTAATTGAAATTTGAAAATATGTATGTAATCAATTTAATTAGTTTGTGCTTAAAATTTAGGTGAGTCTACTCCAGCAATAAAATTAAAGAAAAAAAATGTAGAATAAAAAATTTAAACGTGTTAAATTGACAACAACAATATTAATGTGAAAACACAAATCCTCAAATTATTTTTCATAAAATTCATAATATTTTTGAATAATTCATTGGGCAGTTTTGTCATTTCAAAGGTATTTCCGTTCCATATTTTTGTTCATATTATTACAAGGAAAAAGATTAAGTTAGGACATAAATGTCATTTTATTACAAAAATCAGCGCCCGAAATCCGCGTTTCTTTTGAACAAAAAAATATCTTCGTTTCTCTCTCTAGATTCTTTGCCAATCAAATCACTGTGAGGTCTCTCTCTTTTAGGCTTTTGCAGCTTTGATTTTTGGAACCCAGATACACACTCAAAAGGAATGCTTTTTATACATACAGAGAAATGAAGACGCACTCAATGTAGGGCCATGTCTGCTCGATCTGAGGTTTCTCTCGTCAACTGTCAGCTTTTTTGGGTTTCTCAAAGTTCAGTCTTTTTTGGAGGGTTTTTGGTGTTCATTTTTTAGCTTGATTTCTGTTCTATTTTGGATCTTGGAACTGAATTTTGGTTTGTATGCAAACGGTTGAAAATGGGTTGGTTTAGATTTGTCTGAACGTATTTTCTTTTTGTAGATTGATGGGTTAAAAGTGACATTTTTTGAAGTTAATTCTTTTAATGGATAAAGAATTTAGCTTTGGATAATAAATTTTGTACATTGCCTTTGTTTGATTGAATTATTTCTTTATCACTCTCATTGCTTTTGGGGATTGTGGTAAGTTTAATAAAAGTGTGTTTATATGTGGAAATTTCAGATCAGTTTCTTGGGATTTGTGTTTTAGTGTTGAGAATTGAAGTAGTGAAATTTGAAGGGAATATTTGGTTAATTGGTTTTGTTGAATTCGGGGTTTTGCATGAAAGCTTTAGAAAATGTTAAAGCTTGAGACTATCATCTATACATCTTTTTGCTGTTGGATCCAGTTGGCTTTATATGTCATCTTATATAATGTGTCATAATGAAATAATTTTGGGAAGCTCTAGATCACTTCGGTTCATTTTTAGCTTCTTTTAGCTGATTGAGTGATAAAATTGTGTTCTAAAGGGTAATGATGAGGTATATAACGTGTGAAAGCTTTCTGATTTCATTCTTCTTCTATTGCTACTCAAGTCTTCTAGGTTTTATCAAAATAATCTGGTTTTTTAAGAATTTATAAATTGTGCCTTGCACATTTTCCTTACCTTTGAATGTGGTGATGCTAAATAGTTTATTTTGGATTGCTAGGGCTTCAGCATTGGAGTTTTGGAAATGTTGAGACCTAAACTAACATGAGCCAGGCTGAAGTATCGAGGATGAAGCCACCTCTTGTTCCACTTGCGACCTTGATTGGTCGTGAGCTCAGGAATGAAAAAGTTGAGAAACCTTTTGTGAAGTTTGGACAGGCTGCTTTGGCCAAAAAAGGAGAAGATTACTTTCTGCTTAAACCTGATTGTCAGAGGGTTCCTGGGAATCCAGCAACATCTTTTTCAGTATTTGCGGTACTCTCTTCCTTCTTCCGCCCACCTGTTCCCTCTTCTCTCTCTCTCTCATTAAACATGAAGGATGTTGGCTTATCAGCTAAAATAGCACATAATGGATTCTTCGTCTTTGGTTATGAAGAATGAAAAAAGAGAATTTGAATTGTAATGTGGGAAAAATTGTGATTCACTGTGTTGAGTTCTGGTCAATGTATGTTCTTGTTTAATTTGTCCTCATAAAAATGAGAACAAAAGTCTCATGATTCTTCTTTTCTCCCCTACTGATCAAGTTGAGCATGGTAAATGTAGTGTTTCCTAATATTGGTTTTATTGGCAGATTTTTGATGGGCATAATGGTATATCAGCTGCCATTTTTGCGAAGGAGAACTTATTGTGTAATGTCTTGAGTGCAATTCCTCAAAGCATCAGTAGGGAGGAGTGGCTTCAAGCCCTTCCTCGGGCTCTGGTTGCAGGTTTTGTGAAAACAGACATTGAATTTCAGCAGAGAGGCACGTATTCATCTCTATTTCATCACCCTTGTTTTCTCTCAATCAAATTCTGCTGCATGCTTATCTTTGTAGTCATTTATATTGATGACAGGGGAAACTTCTGGGACAACAGTTACATTTGTTGTAATTGATGGATGGACTGTCACTGTTGCATCTGTTGGTGATTCTCGATGTATATTGGACACCCAAGGGGGTGTAGTTTCTCTCCTGACTGTAGATCACAGGCTAGAAGAGAATGCAGAAGAAAGAGAGCGTGTCACTGCCAGTGGGGGTGAAGTAGGAAGACTTAATGTTTTTGGGGGCAATGAAGTATTCTACACTTACAAACACGAGAACTTTCTCTGCTTTTTCTTTTTTGGGTTGGGTGAATTAGAGGTGGTGGAGTGAGTTGTTTGTAAAGGTTATGAATGTTTCTAACACCTTACCTTTAAGAATTGAATCTATGTAGGTTGGTCCCCTCCGTTGCTGGCCTGGTGGATTATGCCTCTCTAGGTCAATTGGTGACACAGATGTTGGAGAGTTCATTGTCCCAATACCACATGTTAAGCAAGTGAAGGTTACGTCTTCATGTCTTATTGCTAATGCATTTATTAATTTTCTTCTGAGCATTCAAACCTTGAAACTTCTTCTCTGTTTTCCCTTAGTTGTCAAATGCTGGAGGACGACTTATTATTGCTTCAGATGGTATTTGGGATGCTTTGTCTTCGGACATGGCTGCCAAGTCTTGTCGGGGTCTACCAGCAGACCTTGCGGCAAAGCTGGTTGTTAAGGTGATATCCAGACTGGTGTTTTCTCCTTATATTATCCAGTCAATTGGCCTTGATATTAAATTTGGTTTACTTCTTTCAGGAAGCTTTGAGGTCAAGGGGCCTAAAGGATGATACAACCTGCCTGGTTGTTGATATTATTCCTTCTGACCAGCCTGTCCTACCTCCAACACCAAGGAAGAAGCAGAATGCGCTCGGTTCTTTTCTTTTTGGGAAGAGATCTCAAAATTCTACAAACAAGACTACAAATAAACTTTCTGCTGTTGGAGTTGTTGAGGAGCTATTTGAAGAGGGTTCTGCCATGCTTGCAGAAAGGTTCATTCATTAGAACTTTCCTTTGTCCCTTCTAAGTTTTGCATTTTGCTTTATATGTTATATGGGGTGGAAATGCCTGTTGGAAAGAACATGGATGGTCTTAAAATAACTGGCAGACCATATCAAAAAAAATTGGCAGAAATTGCTAATGAATTCCACTATCTTTTTAACAACTATGCTGGTTGAATGTGTATAAATATATCCCATAAGTTGATTTTATCCTCGGCTTGTCACAACAAATCGGTTCAGTTTCTCCTAATTTCATGTGAAATTCGCACCTAAATGCATGGTTTCAAGGCAAAAAGCAGTGGTTATTTGCAAGATGGCACTTCACTTAAGTTGTTTGAATAGATATCTTATTGTGGGGCAATGATTATGTAGGTCTTTAAAATTGAGCCTCTTTTTTTTGGCTAACAAAAGAACTAGATCAGTCTCTAATCCCACTGATTTTTATAATAAAAATTGCAGGCTAGGTAAGGATTTTCCCATGAATGCAAACTCTGGAATCTTCAAATGTGCAGTCTGTCAAGTTGATCAACCCCCAGCAGAGGGTTTAGCTGTGAACTCTGGGCCTTTTTTCTCACCTGCTTCAAAGCCCTGGGAAGGACCCTCTCTCTGCACTAACTGTCGGAAAAAGAAAGATGCCATGGAAGGAAAAAGGCCAAGCAGACCTGCAGTGATCACGTAACATCTTATTTGGTAACAAGGTAAATATGATGTTTTTTTTTTCCTGGCAGTGTGAGCATACTTGGTTTCCCATTATCTAGTGATTGCAATAGATCCGAGTAAGAATCAAGGTAGACATAGAGTAGGTGTTTTGCTATTATTGTTTGTGAGTTTACACTTGTGCTCGGCTGTTTTACTGACCAACTCGGGACGAAGATGCTATCTGATAGATATTTGTGATAGTTTGATTGCTAACCGCTTGAATTTGTAATTAGATGTGAAGATTACATAGTAATATATCTACTCAGCTGCCTTTCTGCATTAGCAGGGGCGTGTTCTCAACTCCCTGGCCTGATTTTGATTGAACCAACAACGAATATTGACCAGTGCAAGTGTATTGCACTCCTTGCTGTTACATATTTCAACAATGCAGTGTTTCCAGTGTAGTTGTTTATAACCCTGTGGCATGATGGTGAATTTTCCTGTTCATTTCAGAAAATTCTGATCCACATCTTTCCAAGATTTTGAGATCATATACTTCCCGACTAGGGATAGTTTGGATTAAGTGCCAAATAGCTAGGAGATGTTGTAAAGAAGGTTTAATCCACTGGAGTGTTCATGGAGTTCAAAATAATAATAATGAAGGAAAGATCAGCCCGAAGGAACAAAATTTTTCATGGTAGCATCCATGCGAAGATAGATAAGGGAGAATGGGCCACTAAAGTTGATGGGAGAAACAACGAAGCTGATCTGCAATCTTTTGGGCCATCAAGGTTAGGCCTTAACAGCCAGCTAAAGTGAGCTTCATATGCCTAAAAGATCCAGTTTGCTTTCACAATCGGTTTTAAGGCCAACATCAACCCTGGGCCTGGGAAAAGCCCAGTTCCTAGGCAACTTCAGGTTTCCTAGCACTGGCTTAGTGGCTTAAAGTTAGAAGTTAAACACTGATGCACTTCATTTATTTTCCTAACATGAAAATTTATTCACTGATATAACAATGAAGACTAAGCAAACAAAGGCACAGCATAACAAGCAGAATTAAGCAGATGCATATGATAGAAAGATGACAGAAAATATTCGAGAGACTAGAGTGACGTGGCTTGTCAAAGAAACTAACTTAAAATATTCAGAACCATTGCAGCTCAATGCCGAAGTTCCAGAGTTTAATGGGATCATTAGGCTGCTTATCAACCACAGAAGTATAAGCAGTGCACCCTCCAAGCCTGATCCTGATCCTATATGAGTTCATGGATGCATCTTTCAAGAAATGGCAACAAAGTGTTCCTTTGCAGCCATATCCCTCCCCCACATCCTCAAACTGCCTACAGAAGCTGCTCGAAGAACAATTCAATGGGGATAAAAGAATGTTATTAGAGCAGTTAAATAACATGACAGTGTTACGAGTAGATATGTTGAAGGGTAAGTTCTCATCGAGCCGCAAACCTCCTAGACCGAGATCAGAAGAGTAACAAGCGTTTTCCTTTATCAGGGGTGGGCTTATAACAAGCTTATTAGCCCGACGATTAATGCTGAGAATCTTATAGTAAAACCCTGAAGCTGACATGAACTCGAGGACACCATTGTTGCAGTAGATTTTGTACCTGGGATCTCCACAGTTTTCATCAGTTCTGAGTGGATATGGAACTTTCATCTTACCACATTTGGGACAAACACGGGAGGCTGACACTTGGGTTACTAAAATAAACAAGAAAACTACCACGGGCACCATTTTTCAGTCTAGTTTTGACAGCTTAGAAACCAGGGAAATAACTATATATTGACACCAAATCTTTGCTTGGAAAGCCTGAGAACTGGATGCTCTTTTATATAGAGAATATGGCTCGGGTACTCACCAAAAATAGAACATCAAAACAAAACCATTTTATGTGTGGGGAAAATCCATAAGCATGTTCTTTTTTTAGTGCGTTATCAACCAACTGTAGCAACAAACTTGTCCATATATCTACTATAGTCAATGTATGTATAAAGTTAGTGGCCATGAACTTTGAAGCTAATTAGTCATATATCTTAAGAGTCAAGTTACATTGATGGATTTTAATGTTAGATTTGATGGTTGGTGTCGTGCAACTAGTCAGTACTCCGGCATAAGAATTTACAGGAATAAAGCAGAATGTAATAAGCTTCTTATTTTAGCACACTCTTACATTGACTGTTATTCTTTAAACTTTCATTAGAATTTTTCATCTCAGAATATAGTTTTTGATCGCTAAATTGAACTTTGGATAAGTACGAAGGCATATAATACGTACTAACCAATACCATAAAATCTCATTTGAACGGTGGATTCCAAATTTGTGGGTATTAAGATGACCCTTAAGCCGGCAAGTGTGAATGGAATCATGATATTATAATAAAATATAAATTTGCACACTCTGATCCCACTTTCCTTGTTTAGGATTTGTATAAAAGGAATTTCCCTTTTTGAGGAGTGGGTGTTTCTATTTGATAATGGAAATCTTAGGGTTGACAAGAGTTTAGCACCAAAATAATTGAGCTGATATGGCCAGGTATGGATCCAACCTAAGTAGGTAGGTCAATTGGATCGTGATAGGTTATATAGTGCACATTAACATCTTGAAAAGCCATATTTCAAAACCCATTTCCATTGATTTATAATATATATTTGATTTTGTTTAGTGGATATTTGCCAAACTAACCACTCAAATTATGAACCCTTTGAATCAACCATTAGAGAAAAAAAAAAAGGAAAGACATGGTAATCGAACAATCCATGAGCATCGCTTTTACAACCAGCTTAAAATGGGATTTTAATAATACAACACAACATTCAATGGCTTGAGTTTGTCCCTCTCATGCAACAAACAGTCCAGTAGATTCATCAAAAGATTGAAGATACAGAAGAAGGTGCAAGCTAACAGAGATGGTCGTAGGATCCCGAGGCCACCTTTAGTTACGGGGTTAATGGGATGGATTGGGCTTTATTATTATAATCTCAAGTAACATTGATCTAATTCAACTTTATAGTCGAGAAAGAAGAAACCAACCCAACAAATCCAATATCAACTTCAGCGGGGAAGAAATAAAATTCACACTTGAAAAAAAGTCCCACGGTGTTACACATAACTTGATAGTCCTCCGCAAGCGATACAAAATGGAGTAATTGAACAAGACAAGGATGAAATCATAATGCAACTCTACCAAGTCTTTGAAATTCTCAAAAATAATATTACTGCTCAAGTTGTCGGAGATGCTATAGCATGCGTCACCGGTAACCATAAATAGTTTGGTACAAAATTTGAATCAGCATATCCCTTGATCACAAGTCGGATCAGCTACGTTGTGGGTTCCTGGCTCTTGAAGGACGCCAGGGTTCGGGCTTGCTGCTGCCGCCACCACCACCAAAACGGTCAGAATCCTGAGGTGAAGCCCTGCTGCCACTAGTCCAGCGTTCAGATTGCGATGGAGGGGCCCTGCTGGCGGCAGTCCATCGATCAGATTCTGAGGGTGCAGGCCTGACCCAGCGATCAGGTTCTGAAGGCAGAGCTGAACCAGAGCTTTCAAGTCTTTCACGCCGGAACTTAGGTACATATTTCCCAGGAGATGGAGCAGCAGCTGGAGCAGGAACAGCAACTCCAGGCTCCGTTGTTGTACGGGAGTCAGCAGACAGCTCAGAAGGCCTAGAAAACGCCTCTGTTGACCTTCCCAAAAGAGATTCTCGCCTCTGCCTCTCTTTCTCTTCCAATTCTCGTTCTCTTTGCCTCTGCTTTTCAGCAATCTCATCCATTTTTGCTTTGTGTTCAGCTTCTGCTTTTCTTCGTCTCTCAGCCTCTGCAAGTTTCAAAGTGCCAATAAATAAAAGTAGATCAAAGCACAAACTTGTAGCTTCACAACTATTCACACTTGCAAATATCCTCTTATTAAGTGGAACGTTTTAAAAGGAAAGTTATCTAAATAATTTAAACAATAACAGAAAAGCATAACAACTGAAATGAGTTTGAACAGACAAAATACTTAAATTTCCCTGCATCGATAGGAGGTGAGACAGAATTCTATTGATACGAGAAAAAGGAAATATATGAATTGAGTAAACCGTAATTTTTCTAGAGAAAAATATTTATGAGCTTATCCAAAAAAAGAATAGAATTTCAAGGTCAAGTAATTATGAAACTATAATCAAATGAGTGTATCAAATTATATACCTTCATGTTTACGAGCTTCCTCCTCTTCACGCAGCTTTCTTATTTTCTCCTCTTCAAACCTCACATAAAATATTTTCTTTCTCTTAATATCTCTTTCCTGCTTCCGGGCCTGAATGATTTGTTTGATTCTCTCCTCTCTCTCTACTCTCCGTTGGTCAAACTCAGCTTGCCGACGACTCATTACTCTTTCCTGGAATATCATCTGTGGAAAAGCAGAAATCAAATTTGCTTATGTTAAATCCCTTAACACTGTGGAAGAGAAGATGTAGGAAGCTGCAAGAATATTATCTCTGGCAAGACAAGCCCTCCCATGAGCAAAGCCACAAATCCAAAAGGTACTGACCTTGTTTTCTAACATACGTGCCAACCTATTCTTCTCTCTCAAGTCCCCATCATGGCGCTGTCTGCTCAACTCAATTTCCAGCTACAAAGCAGAAAAACAAAATTACAGATGGTATTATCAAAAGGTTGACAATCACAAAAACCAATTAAAAACCTCTCTTAAAGACAGTGTAACATAGAATGACTGCTCATCCCTTCAAGATATAGGTGCAAGCATAGAGATGCAAAATGTGAGTAGAACATCAGTTGAGGCAGACTTAAACACATAGTATTTGATATGTTTATGGAACATAATGTCATATGCTTTGAGACCTTACAAGGAAAGTATTGCAAGCAAGGTATGTTTTAATTGCAAAAACAGGTGCAATTGCAAATCAGGGAATTCAAAAATTCACCTGTTGCTCACGTTCATGAAGCACTTTCTCTTCTACCAATCGTCGTTGAAAAGCAGCTTCAATCAGGGGCGCTGCTTCCTCTCTCTTTGCCCTTTCCAGATGGTCCATTGTTTTGGCAACTTTTTGTAGTCTCTTCTCCTGTTCCTGCCTCTCCTTGAGCTGCTCACTCATTGCCCGCTCAATCAAGGTTTGCTTAGTCAATTTCTCCTGGACATACATGCATGGTAAAAAATGTAACATCCATATGAATCAGAACTTAACAATAAATAAATAAAATTGGCTACTCACCCCATCCAAAATTGGCTTCTTTTTCCCTCTTTTCAAATGCTTTTCAGTTTCCTGTAGCAGTGCTTGTGCTTCTTCAAGTTCCCGTTCCTCTATTTCCTTACGAATTCTTTCAGCTCGCTGTTGCTCAAACAAAGCAGCAAGCCTCTTTTTTTCTTCTTCTTCGGTTTTCTTCTGCAACATCTGCTTCTTTGACTCCTCCTCACGTTCCTAGTGGATAAAACAAACAAAAAGCAGGGGCATAAGTTTATGAATTCATTTCAACTATTTTGCTAAATGATGAAACCGCATGTTGTTTATGCAACTAGCCAAATAAATGGGGATACCATTTCCAGTAGTTGACGTTCTTGTTCTTCCTTTCTTTTCTCAATGATTGATTTCCGAGCAAGAAGCCTTTTGTGTTCCTTATCTACAATCTCCCCTAAACCTGGTAAAACTTCACCCAGTTTTGATGCTTTCTTGGCAGAAGGGTATATCATGGCTCTTGCTTTATTCAAAGATTCAGCAAGAATAGTCAGGTGATCACGAAGCTTGTCAGATTCAAGACCCTGAAAAAGCCAACACAGCAGGGAAAAAAAAAAGATAAATGCATCCTTTGCTTTGCAGGCACCTTCAAGAAATATGAACAAAGTGCACAAATCCTAGCAATATCAGCAAAGAAATAAGCACAAACATACCAAAATCCAGACTTACCATATTACCAAACAGCACAACACCCTTCATGTGGTCAACTTTCATAGCTATGAAATTATGTTTCACAGCATACACAGAAATCTTCTCCACCATAGAAAAATCAAAAAAGGGGATCATCAAAGACAAACTCTCAATTTTCATTGTCTGGTAAACCTGAGACACCTGGAGAAGCAAGGGAGAACATTGAGAAAATCAAATAAATAAAGAGGTGTGCATAGCAAATAAAAAGAACAATGAAAAGAAAATAAACGCAAGAACACACCTGCTTAAGCAACCTGAGGGTAGCAAGCTTTTCAAGGGAAGGAACATATTGAGAGAGTTGAACTTCTGGTACAGATGAAGCTGAAGCCAGCTTCCCACCAAGTTTTGATATTTTCAGCAACAGAGGCTGTATCTTCGATGCAACATCCAGAGTGAGAAATTCATGTTCTAAAAGATGGTAAAGATCTTTCACTTCTTGAGTTGCACAACTAAGAACACCTTTGGTGACCTAAACAAAAGGGAAATAAGAACAGACAGTTTAGTCAGCAACCTAAAGACATCCAAAGAATTTATTATTTTACCATAACCAAGTGGAATAGAGAAATTATGTCATGTAGCCAAACCCAACTAGTTTGTGATTAAAGGCTTAGTAGGGTTGAGTTCCATTATATTAAAATTGACTGGAAAAACATCATCGTTAAGACATAACAAACTAACATTTGACAACATGGCCACCCAAGCCCTTTTTTTAAAAGAAAGGCAAAAACAATCTAAACTTTGAAATTTTATCAGAAACAAGATACCAAATCAGTACAAGTAACATGGCAAAAAAGAAGAAACAAATCAAAAGTGCTCATAATATTCAAACATACCAGTTCTGTGAGAAGTGATGACCTTGAAAACTGGAAGAAGTACACAATGTCAGAATATGTTAACATCAAGAAAATGGAAAATTAAAGCAAATGATATTCAATACAACATACCACTTCTCTGTTCTCAAGTTTAGGTTCTAAATTAAAACCTATAAGATTTGCCATTCGAAGGTTGCGCTCTTTCTCATTTTCAAGTTCCAAGTGTGATGCACCAAGTGTTTGATCATAAGGGGACACTGACAGTGCAGCCAAAACAACTGATGATGCTATCAACTGCAAATCCTTCTGGCTTAAGTTTTTATTAAAGCTTTTTTGAAGATTAAATAGCTTGAACCATGCATAAGCATGATAAAGATGGCTGCCTGAAATCCAGAATATTTCAGTTAACTTGGCATAATAAACCACCATCAAGGAAGCCTTGGGAGTTTTCTTGACAATGGACATCAATCCATGAATATCTTCTACGGAACGAAAAGCTTCCTGCAAAGACCAACAAGACAAGCAACAACCAGAAGCATGTAAGATCTATATATTACAAGATAGCAAACTCATCCATTAAGCACACACAGAATGTAGACAAAGCAAACAAGCGACCTGCCACAATCCGAGTTCAGTAGCAATCTTTAGCTGCTCAAATCTTGTATCAAGATACAGTTGCAAGCTCTCTGGAGCCGAGAGGTCAGGTCTGTCCCTCTGGTCTTTATATTTATTTAGAT